TCTCGTTTTATGTCAGCATATGCATAATACAAGTGCTACTGGTACTATGTAGTTCATTATTATATATGACGCATAGTCAAATCATCAGGTGACTAAACCGGTTCCTCCACAAGGCTTTTGTGTTGAAGAAGGTAACTATACACACAGGATTAAATACAAGACCTGTCAAAGGGCGGCTGAATCTTCTTGTATGGTCAACGGCCATCTAGCAGAATGGAGTAGATTGTGCTCCATAGACGGTGCGGTGATGCCACGGCATTGCTGGATAGAGGGTTTCCTAGACTTAACTTAACGGCCACGTGTCCGTGACCAAGGCGAGCTTTCCAGATGGAGAGTGGATCTGGAGGGGAATAGGCTCCGCCAGGTTTACTTACACAGAGATCACTACACATGAATAAATAATCCAGATATGTGGATAAAACTGGTCAAGTGATCAGTTGCACAGCGTCCCTGCGATCACACCTGATGATGATGATGATGATGATGATGATGATGAATGCTTTCTCATTATGTAATGTGTGTGAAGTCTTGATAGTTTAAGTTGTATTTCCCTATATTTTGATATGCTTATTGTTGAGGGGTCCACCCCTTTTTATACAAATGAACTCACCCAGTATATACATATACTACTGCAAGAGCGAGACGAGAGTAAGAGAGAGAGCGCAAGATCGAAGAGTCGAGTCCAAAGTGACATAGTAAAAGGTTGTAGGTAACCGGAAGAGTGAGGGTGAGGTAACAGTGTTGTAGGAGTCACAGTGAGCGAGCACGTAGACTCAATAAGAAGTCATACATCGATACTTCAATACCAAAGACTGTATATATATTTTGCTACTAACCAGTATTCCTGGAACTACTAACCTGCTTTACCAGTTTGTATTATTACGTTAATACATTATTTTCATATATTCATTGCTGGCGTTTGTTATTTATTGGTACCGGATTTCAACCCGGAATCCACAACACTTATGACAATAAAATACCAAACACAGGTAGAAAGATTTATGCCCATGAACTTGAATAATGATTTTGAAAGTTGGCAAGCTCTCTCTTCTTGAGAGGTTGGAGTAGCATAATGTTTTCCATTTTTTTTCATAATGGTTTGTTAAAAAATATATGAAAAGACCATTTAAATTACCAAATCTTCACATAAAGATTATAACAGAGAAAACATAAGATAATAGCCATTTTACCTTTCATGAAAAGTGGACAATCGTTGACAGGAACAGTTTTATCTCATTATCGGTTAAATCTTATAAAATCTTTCTCTTAATACAGTTTTTTTTTAGAGAAATAGTTTTCTCAAGTCCAGTAGCTGTTATATTGATAGGGGATTTGCTTCCTAACCTTTTGTCTTTTTTTTTTTTTTCATAGGAAATAAATTTATTAAGTTCAGTTGACCATTGATGACAATTCCAGAACAACGTAACTATAAACAATTTTTTTCTATCCTCTCCCAGCCGCAATGATGGAGAAAGCATTACCTCGAATCATCACCAGTGAGACACGCTTGCAAGAGCCACTCCGTTTCGCGAGGCTCGTCTCATAATCGAAACGCCATCGCGCCAATCCTCCGAAGGAACGCTATCGAACGAGGGCCAATAACCCCTGAAGTCTCCACTGCCACAGGAGTAAAAAAAAATCTATCATCAAGAGAAGAATATTTAACTATTTTTTTCATCTCTGCGTCCCGGGCGACGGATCCCGGCTCAATCGCGGAACTGATCAAATTACCGACCGAAAATGTATCCGCACAGGTCGCATCCCAAATCAACGACTTCCCTATTTTAAAAGGGAAAATGGTAATGCTATCCTACCGCTTTCCATCACCACGGTCGAGGCCTACGGGTTCGATTTGGGAAGGGAACCCAACTGCATCCAAACCTCTTTTGATGATGTTAATGGCTGCATACCTTGGAAAGCGGCCGGCACTACGACGACAGGAGAGAGGATGCAAACCAAACTCATCGATGGCGGCTTCACATCTGCATTTGAAGTATTGTGGAATGTCATCGTTTTGATTACGTTATTATTGTCTCTTCGAATCATATGTGCAATCTATTTGAGCCGATGCAAGTTCTCAAGTGATGTAATTCTTTTGTTACATGGTAAAGTTCTTTCTGGTTCTGTAGCACCAGTCTGTGTCATCTGAAGAGGGATGGTTTTCTTTAAAATCTACAGGCTTCATTCTATTGAAGCCATTTGTAATCACTGAAGTGAGAAAACGGTTGTGTACAGCTGATAGTTTAGACATTTAGAACGTTGGCAAAATTTGTAGAAATTCAAAGAAAATATTTTGACGATTAATTTCGTGAAATATATTTGTTTCTTCACCAGCTTCTAGGCTCTTCCATAAAAAAAGAGGCGAGCGCAGTAACCATTTTGATCTCTTAAGAAATATGGTGACACTCTCGAATTGAATTGGTAAGTAATGATTTTTCGTTTCACCCGTTGATATACATACACACATAAAAATAAAACTGATTCAACACACTGATAATTTCTCTTATGTTTTCATTCATGTTAATCATTCAATCAACACTAATAACAAACCGTAACCATGGTGATGGGGGAAACAAGTGCTAGATCATAGCAAGATCACCCGTTGGTAACAATTGCTCGAGGTACCCTAATTCTGTCCCCTACTCTAATTAACAATATATATATATATATATATATATATATATATATATATTATTATTATTATTATTATTATTATTCCTCGTAATTATTTCATTATTTTTTCTTCCAGTAATATATGTTACCCATTTTAGATGTTGTTGCTTTTGGAGGTGTTCAAGTGATATGTTTTTGCGATTCTGTAGCGCCAGTCTATGATATCTGATAAAGGATAGTCTTTTTTAAGACCTTCAGGGTTAATTCGCTTGAAGTCATTTTTAATCATTGTTGGCAGTGAATATTGGGCAATCTGCTCAAAGATGAGGAAGAGACTTCAGGCAAAAGAAATATGATTCTACAGAAGGATGCTGAGGATACCGTGGACCGAACATATGAGCAACGACGAGGTTTTAGACAAAATGGAAACAAACAGGAAACTTAACATCAGAAAGAGACAGTTCAAATTTCTAGGACTCACAGGACAGATTGAGGGCAAGAGGGGGGTGGAAAACAGCGCATAACATATTTGATGAGCTTAAGTAAATAGACGACATGACATGGTTTATGGGGAATAATGAAAAAGATAATTAACAACAAAGGACAGGAAATTGTAGAGGCCCATGATCCCTTACGTCATGAGAGGACACGGCACATGAAGAAGAAATGAGTCCGACACCGCGCATGACATCCACGTGAGTCGACGAGGCTATTTAAGAACATGAGCTAATGTTTTGGTTTTGTAGCAACTAGCAGTATTGGGATAGGCTCCCCATAACATAGCCTATCCTATGTTCACTTCCCTTACCTCCTATACTAAAATTGTATAAGTGTTCAGATTTTGGGAAGTACATAGTATACTAATAATGAGGCCACAGTAGTGGAGTACTTCTAAAAAAAGAAACATCTGAATGAATTGATACCTAGGATCCAGCGGTTTCGAATGAGACTAATGAGATTCTCATACGATATCATTTACATACCAGGAAAAGAACTAGTAACAGCTGACGTCTTATCTTGTGCTCCTACTAGTGGTCTAACTAGTCAGGTGATGAAGAAAGAATCTGAAACAGACTCGTTCGTTAATTTGGTAATTAATAATATATTGATAAGTAATCAATTTCTGGAAGAAATTAGAATAAAGCAGTTATCAGACAGTATCTGTAATCAGGTCATAAAATCCTGTAAAGTAAACCACTGCCCAATGTTAATAGGAAAGATCCCACTTCTGGCACAATGGGACGTAATTTAAGTGTTTAAATTACAGGAGGCCGGGGGAGAAGAGAATATGAAGTCCAAACTAGCTAACGCGTAGAATTTAGAATGTTCCCCCTCTTCATTGATGCTTCGCTTTTATAGCAAAGAGCAGATACCATTTCTTGACAGGGCAGGTCACCGCAGATTACTCCACACCCCTGAGAATTAAACCCACAACTACATTAGTGGAGTTTCGAGGCGATTTCGCTACGCATTGCGGCATAGTAGTGTCAGACCCCATTATATATATATACAAGTGCAGTAAAACGCTTCAAATACGTTAGTGTATGGATCATTTAAAACAAATTTAATATAGAAGATGCAGAAAATGAACAGAGAATAAATGCACCACAAAAGGCTGCAAAACCATAATATTAATTTAAGAACTTGCGCCATGTACTTAAAAAAGCCTTGCCAGATCTAGACTCTCATGTGGATGTCATACATGACATCCAACTCGGACAGGAATCTCTAAACTACAAACTATATAGAACAGTTTTCTCGGACCAGTGGTTAAAACGAATAAATCCTCGAGATCTGAAAGAAGAAACCTCATCATAGACTTACGCCACAGAATTTGTAGAAGACTCCGACAAAAAACCACAACTAAAATGGATATCGCATGTAAGTAAAAGGGAAAATAATGATAAAATGAAGCTATTAACTTTCTATAGCATCTAAAACAAAAGGTTAGAAAGGAAAACCCCATCAACACTAGAAAGAACTATCGCATTTAATGGACTTGAGAAAACTATTTTCCAGAAAATCTGTTCGATCAACGAATGTCGAATGTTTCCCGTGTGGAAACAGCTCATTTCACCTTTAACCTGAGATAGAGAACTCAGAACAAAAATGAAAACTTAATTTAATTGCTTGATTTGTTTTCTACGTCTTATCAATCTTAATTAAAAAATATTTTTAAATTGTAGTAATTTTATTTAGATAATAATGATTTAGTAATACAAGTCTTACTGATTAACCCATAGCTGGGGGAGAAAAGGCGAATTCATTCCTTTCCCAAGGGAATTTAAGCGGAAGTGAATATAACAAACCTAATTTGAATTGGAACTCGGCGCTCCAATTAATAATTTCGAGCCATTATCTATTACACCACCCGCACACCCAAGCCTATAGTACTTGGTATTCCCAAGCAGTCACCCATCTAGATACCGGCCAGACTCGACGTTGCTTAACTTCGGTGATCGTACGGTAACGGGGGTTTCAACGTGATGCGGCCGTAAACATAAACACCTTTTAGCGCGGAAGACGTTCTATTGTCTTATTAAATATAATCTAAGTCTAATTTACAAAATGCAGATAAATTTTAAATGTATTTGAAAAATATTCTTATCATTATTAACATAAAATTTAAGCAAAAAAAGATTTAATTTTAAAATCATTCATGATGTGAGGTCCTGTGACTTCCATACATATATATATATATATATATATATATATATATATATATATATATATATATATATATATATATATATAATGCTATCATCAATCTAAAGGTGCTTTCGTACTTCTCTATATTTATGAACCACCATAAGGCTTGGATTCCATATTTGTAAAATTTCTAAAAGTGTAACTTTCAAACCAGCATTTATATGTTCAATTCAACAACGAAAACGTCATCAATTTAAACAGGATATGAATAGTTAATATCCTTTTATCAGAACGAAAGAAAATATTTTTAGTCACTAAAAGAAATCACTGACACAAAAACAAATCACGTTTTTATCAAAAGTGTAATACGACTTCCTGGTTCTAAATACGGCCTTCAATGACCTTCTTTTGATATCTTTTTTCTCTTCTGCATTACCAAGAAAAAAAAAAGACACATTTTCTATTGACATACAGAAAAGATTATCCGAAAAAAAGAAGGAATTTAAAAATTCGGACCATTGTTGAAATAATGAAGGTAACTTCCTCATGATTAAAAAAAAATAAAATAAAAAAGATGCATTAGAATGAATTCACGGAAAGTTTGTGGTAGCAACAATAACAAAAAAAAAATTCCTCTTGAGTTCAGTAGTCTGAACATCAGGTAGAATGAAGAAAATATTTATAAAGAGCCTTAATTGAATTTTTAAATTAGTCATTTTCTTTACATTTTCGTCGAAACGTGTGAGTTTTCATTCTCTCCTCTCCTTTTATTTTCAGCAAAACATTTCCAACAGGAGTTAAATAGAAATTGCAAAATAGTTCTAATAAAAATATATAAGCTGGTATTTACATAGTGCATATATTTAGCAAAGAAATGTAACTATAATGATAAAACTATAGCAACATCAGTGGTTTTAATACCAATTTCATTTAAAGAAACATTAGCTTGTATAATAAAATGACATTTTTCTATCTTTGTTCTGTAATTTGTTTGATCATTTGGCTCCGAACTTACTGATATAACTCTCTATAAATACATTTTTTTGTGTGTAGATTGAGAAAAATATAGAATATATGTATGTAACGATAATAAAATAAGAAATATATAATTTCAAAAATGGTGTTTGACAGCCAGCCACGATTAACTGTTTCATCCCCGCGTAATTGGGCAGCCACAAGTCTGCCAACACCAGACTCTGGTTTCACTACCGTAAGCCACCTTTGGTAAATCCAAGATTCTAAACCTCAGGTAACTATCATACATCACTGGAGAGTAAAACAATCAAAATCACGGAAGAGAGAAATATAAATGCTTAGCGTTAACTGTTAGTAGAGATACTAAAGCCAACCACATGTATTGGTGACGTGGGTAGGGATAACATTCCCAACTAGAACACAAAAATGTTTAATGTCTAAAAAGAGTGAAAATGAAATAAAGAACTTGAAAAAAAATCGCCGGTATGATTAATTTTTATCAATAAAGTGACTTCATTGGGGGATGAAATGAAGACTGAAGATAGAGTATCACAGCCAAAATTGATGCAAATCAAAGTAAAAAATAATTTATTGCCTGGAGTGAAAATAAGAGCTGATATTTTTAAGATATCGTTTCTTCATAATGATACCCTATCAATATTCGTTGGCTTCAGATTCCGTCCATACTCTTTGGTTTCAATTTCTATCCATACTGATTGGTTTCAGTCTCTTATTGTGTTTATTTCCATGCTAGTTTTTTTTTGTTTTATCATTCACTACAATCAAGACAATAAAGCCACTAAGACGCATGGGTGTTGCCAGGTGTTAGAGAATATGAGAAAAACACTAGTAAGAACAATAAAGGAATAAGAATTAAGGCAGAAGATAATGATTGTCATTGTTTTAAATTTTTGAAGATCACTGTTGACTGGGAAGTGAGAAACCGGAAGGGAGTTCCATAAGCGATAAAAGAAACTGTTAACATAGAACTTACGGTTTACATCTAGCTGCCAATTCAACTAGAAAATGATTTCCGCCAATCTAGTATTGCTGTTAAATTGATAAAGTCTAGTTACAATAGAGGAAATTACATCAGAACAATTAAGATGAAAGTTTTTAAAGGAAAGGCAAAGGGAAGCTACGTTATGGCATTGAGAAAGTGACTGAAGCTGCGATGAGAGGTCAGAATCCATAATATTGCTGATTCTTTTTCTGTATTTTATCAGAAATCTCTAAATATATAGCAGGAGCACCGGTCCAGATGTGGCAGCAAAATTCAAAGCAATATTGAATAGTAGACTTATAAATATGTAAGATAGAATCTGGTGTGAAAATTGTCTCGCTCGACACAGTGTAACAACTTTCCTAGCTGCAGAATTAGCAATTGATTCAATATAGTTACAACGTGGTCCTTATCCCGATGTCCTTAGGAAGTCCTTATAGCCTAGATTATGCACTGATTATTTCACTCTTCTGTCTTTCCAAGAATTATATAACAACTTAAGTAAATTATCAGAATTTTTTTTATAGTTTCTCATAAAATGTGCTTTTGTTTTCGGTTTCCATATTGATAATGTGAGTAAAGTTGGATGCGAATTCGACATAATGGTAGATATAGAAGTTTCAAAAATAATAATCAGAGTTTTTTCGACTTGAAGTTACACTGGAGATCAGTGTGATTTCTCATTTTCAGTATGGTTGCTCTTTTCCAAACATAACCATCTGCTCAGTTTTATTTGTGTTTCTTCAACACACACAAAGCCACACTGTGGTTTATGCTGGAATTATACTGAGCAGACTTCATATAAAGTTCACGTATGCGCCCTCCAGGGCCATATGCGGTTTTGAATTCAGAGTTGTCTTTCTCTTATACTGGCTTCCAACAATGACTAGAGAGTTCAGTCTGCTCTGCTATTTAACCGGACAATAATAATAATAATAATAATAATAATAATAATAATAATAATAATAATAATATTAACATTATGAAGGCGCAGCAGGCAAAATACAAAGATAGAAAACAGCGGCTCAAGATGTTCTTTTTATGTTTGGTGCATTCGCAGGATGTCTTAGAGATACCTGACATCATTACATGTGCGCAGGTGGCAGAGCTGCATCGAACAAGTCATGGGCCAAGGAAAGTGTTGTGTGAAAGTGTTGTACGATACGGGTAAGAGCTTAGGTATGACCTTTATGATCAGTCTGAAAACTAATTGTTGAAACTTGACTAATGCATGGAATAATAATGCAACACAAAATGTACTTAGAACAAAATGAATTGAAACAAGAAAGTGTACACAATATTTACATATAGTCTTTTGTATATTCCTGGTAAGACCGTTCCTGGAGAATGTGTTGACTGAGTCGCAGTCGGGCAGAGTCTCTGGTTGAATCTCTTGATTCCTTCCTCTCTTCCCGGTACCAACCATATTTATATGATCGATACTCCACTATGCAAATTAGGTGGATCCTACCACAACACTAATAATAATAGTAAATTATTTTTTCTGATGACGCCGGATAATCGGCGAAATATGTCAGTAAATTGTCTCATATATTTTCTAGGTATTTGCTTTTATTAACTGTCAGAGTCTCAGCTACGGGTAAATAAAGAATCTCCAAACAAAAACAAAAAAATCTATGAAAGTATAGAAATACATTTTTGTAGTAAAAGTGCAAACAATGCGTTTCTATATATAGAAATTACCAACATTATATATTTATAGTAGAATGACCAACAATACCTCTCGTTGTCGGCTTTATCACGTATGCGAGAATTTAATTTCTTTTTTGTTGATCGCTCTCTTTATGATGATGGCGTTGATGACTAAATTCATTGGCAGCGTGCAGGTTCAAGATTAGAAGCTTTCAGTTTCACCAAAACCTGCACTGGCGAGCCATTCCTTATCGTCGTTTGGCTTTGCAAGTCTTGGTTGAAGGTGAAAGTAAGTCAGAGTAGAAGAAAGTGTCAATGATGTGACTTGTTTAAGGTGAACCTCAACTTACCAGGAAGTGACCCACACACTTGATTTCGTGACCCTCATTTGCGGTACATATGGAATGAGACATGCAGAATTCAGTTATGAAACTGCAACGGACTGCCGATGACTCTGTTATAATTTCGAGTGGCGCCTTCTTGTAGCATGTCGTCATGCGTAACTATCGGTCTAAGAATCACTGGACCACGCAAGCCCATCCAAAACGAAAAGTGACGATCAGAGAAACATATCAACAATACATTCTTAAGCAAAATAACCTGCAATACATTTTGTAGTAGAATTACCAACAATACATTTTATAGAAAAATAAATAACAATACATTTTATCTGTAGATGAAGACATACAATTGCTTTCAAAATATATTTAGTTGAAGTCATAAAATTGTGTTAAAAATATTTAGATATTGATATAGAGGTTGATATGCCGCTAAACAAAATGAACCAGTCAACTGATACAAAGCGAAAATAATATGCATGTGATAAATTCATTTAGCGTGGAAAATTACAAAAACTAGACTGGTAATCCTCAATCTACAATGAATAATGTCATATATATATATATATATATATATGTGTGTGTGTGTGTGTGTGTGTGTGTGTGTGTGTGTGTGTGTAGGCGTAATGACTGATTTTCATAACAGAACATTATGAGACAGCCATTCCGCTTCCGACTGAGTTCACACCTCTACTCCCCCCAAAACGTATCCTACTTCCGCCTGACTACTTCCGTATCGTTTATTCCGATGGCGACCAATAGAGCCGAAAATAAGACTAAAATAAAATCGTTGTAATTTGCTCAAAGGGAGTCGCAATCTGATGAGAATTTGGAAAGGATGGAGGGCACTAAGCAGGAGCGCGGTGGGAAATTCTTAAC